CAACAAAAAAAAAAAAAAAAGATTACCTAAGGTGGGAAGGAAAGCACAAAGGAAAAATCAGAATGGTTTGGAGCATGACTTTTAAAGATATATGTTTCATTTGATTGTAAGCTATGTAACTACATCCATCACCTACTCAAAAAGATTCTAAGATTTAAATATTTTAGAACTCCTGGCTTTGTTAGGTACCTAAAAAGAATTTGAGGAAAGTCCAGGAATTTCATATAAATAATTAAGAATATAATGATATCTTGTATTTTTAAAGACAACCTTCTAAAAGGATCATAAATGATTTTATAAACGAGTCGATTGTCTTTTGCCCCTTGGGAAGACACAGTAGAGTGAGCTGAAGACACTGGTGTGTGCTTTCAACAATAGTGGCAACGACTGAAAATGTTTGACTACACACTTGGACATGAATACTTTGCTAAAACTTCATGTCCATTGTCTCATGTATTTCCCCCCAACAACTTCATCTTAGGGATGAGGAAAATGAGAATTCGAACGGTGAAAACAATCTGTCCAGAAACACGGCTGTTGAGAGGCACTGCCTGAGCTCGTTACAAGATTGTCTGATTCTACGTTCTTTACTATAATCAGACTGGTAGATTAACACCAGGCAGAAGGAGTTTTTCTTCCACGTTCACAATTTCTTAACTTACAGGGGTCTTAACCGCCTTTTGACATACAACTAACACAACTCTAGAGGATTTGGATTTGACTGCGGAATATTAATATAAACTGAGGCAAAACACAGCATTCCAAGCAGCCTAATATCAGGCCATTCCTCATCAAATTTCTAGTCTCACAAAGAAGTTGTCAAAGGCACTTGCTCAAAAAAAAATCACTTTTCAGAAAGACTCATGTTCCTACAAATTTGGGTGTTCTGTAGTATTATAGTAGGGTTACAAGATGCCAGCTCTACATACTCATCTCTGTATCCCTAAGATGTTCAAAAGTTTTCTATGTCCAACAGTATTTTAAAATATAGATAGTGAAAGTCAACATTGATCTTTTCCGAGCCTTGTAGTCCTATCAGCTCTCTTATTTATAAGGGTACCATTTCAATGCACAATTATCTAGGATAAGTGCTTATCATCTCTTTCTGCAAGTTATAAACAGGAAAACAGGGCCAGAGATTTACCTGTGGTTCTGCCACCTGCCTTCAAGTGCAAGGACCCAAGTTCGATCTCCGGTACCAAAAATAAATAAATAAATAATTTTACAAATGGGAAAACAAATTAAGAATATAAATTTTCTTTATTATAAACAGACTCAATTTTAAAGAAAACTTCTGTTGCTAAACTTCTATTAGGAGTACAATAAGCATGTTACCGAATATTGAAATTATAATAATGAGAGTGTTGGAGGGATATTTTCCCACTCAGAAATTCTTGAAAAGCAAATCACTTGTGCATGTTTCTAGTTAACAAGTTGTTGGTATTACTTATACTCTTTTCAATTCTAAATGCTCTATTATAGTCATATCTACACTGAAGAAGTTTTGAACTAAGTAATCTGCAAGGTTCCTTCTGTCCCTAAGATCCTAAGGACACAATCCTAAGGAAACATGTTATTTTATTGTGCTCACTTTAATATAGAGGAAACCGATACACAGAAATAGTAGGAGGCTTTTCCACGTTCATACAGTTAGTAAGTAGCAGAGATGGGACTAGAATTGGGCTTGGAAATTCATGCTCTTACTCCTGAGTGACACTCCCTACAGTAGTGAAAGAAGAAGGCAAGGTGGGAGAGTAGGAAAGCGTTTAGGAAGAGTAGAAACAAAAGTAGAGGTAAGCAGGAAAGCACACTCACGAAAATAGCAACTCTGAATAAAATCACATAAGTCTTTTGGATAACATCAAGAACAATTTAGTAGCTAAAGCTAATGCTGAACTTACAATTTTGTTGAAATGAATATACATTTAATGCATCTTGCTTAGAAATGATGCAGGTGTTGAACAACAGAATGCACCTATTTATGATTTCAATGTATTAGGTTAGACTTTTCTTCTTTTTACTATTTTTGAGAGTGAGTTTAATTATTGTGAAAGAGTTCTACTATATGCTTTTTTTTAAAGTGTGATTAATTTTCAAAGAGTATTACAAATAAGACCATAACTACAGGGTAGAAATAAAATAAAGCAAGAAACTCTGGAAGTTTGGTACCATGCAAAACTGTACTGCCTAGAGGAAAATACCACTAAACAGGACCTTGATTTATTTAAAGACAGATAAATAAAATTATTTCCAGTAACAACTAAAACCTATTTTATATAGTTTTATCTAAATAGATGTACCTATGACTAACATACTTTTGTATTCTTTTTGCTTGTTTTTTTTGCATAGTACACTTCATTTTTTGAGTTTAATCATCATCTAGAGTCTATAATGGAGAAAGCATATATCTACAGGTAATGTATATACATACATACACGCTTGTGGGAAGTGAAGAAAGCAGAAGCAAAGCATTTTAGACAGCATTTGGGAAAAAGATGTCCAAGAGAAGGAGATAATTTCAGATTTTGACTATATAAAATACAAGTTTATGCTCTAAAACAGGTCGAGATATTTCAAGTGAGATAATAGTGTGCAAATCATATCAGATTTTAGAAGAACGCTGGACTTAAAAATAGGACTATTATCTACTTCAGCCAAAACAAGTACAGATAAACACACTCTTTTACAAGTCGACTTTAGAGCTCTCTGGTGACAGTTCATTCTTAATCTACATTTCACTCATTCGCTGTTCTGAAGCACACTTGCACACAGACCTCTAGTCACAGCTCACTGTAGCATAACATCCCACGAGCTTTTCAGAGATATCTGGTTAAATCAGTGTAGCATATTTTACGGGACTAAAAATAGAGAGGTGACCCTTGACGCATGTCTTTCTTAGAGTTGACTCACACTATCTGTGAAAAGTGAGGCAGATTTTTTTCTACACTCCATCAATCCCAGTCAAGACACCGCAACTAGACAACATTGAATGGCACCATCACTTTCTACTGTGCTGATGAGAGTTAGCAGTTCACAAATCTAAAGCAAGAAGGCTTAGTGGAGACTTAAAAGAAATGCTAAAATAGGCTGTGTTCCAGAAACAACATGAATCCCAATTTTGCATTTATTTTCTTCGACAGAGTCATTCGAACAACCGGATACTTGCTATTTATTCTGCACATTAATGCCTGCATTTATTACTGGGCTTCCAACTATGAAGGAATTGGCACAACAAAATGGGTGTATAATGGTGAAGGAAACAAGTGAGTTATAATTTTGAAAGAAACTCATTGATTCTTTTAATTTTCTGTATCAGTGTACGAATGTTAAGTCAGCTTTTTTTAAACTGTTGCAACCCATCCATGGGCAGTAAAACTTCTTCAAGAATTCACTGTTTTGAAGTAAAACAGAATGTAAGAGAATAGAATAGAAAATATCAGGGTCTTTGTGATTGATAGTAGAGGGGTGTGTGTGTGTGTGTGTGTGAGTGTGGCACACACGCATGAGCATGTGTGTGCTATGCTGGGTTACCCTGTGAAATGTATTTCTTGTTCTAGATCATGTTCAAAAAAGTTTGAAAGCCTCTACATTGGACAACTCACTCCTAGGGTAACTTTTAATAACTCAAATGCTGATAGGTAGTAATGAACAATGTTAATTATTTAGAAGGCAGATGCAGTGGCTAATTAGTTTACCACAGAAGTATTTTATGGGTTTATGAGTAAGCTCTAGCCACTAACTCAATTAAACACTTAGAGAATAACAAGGATCATAAAATAAACCGGACAATTAGGTGTGCAAGTGTCCCAGGAAGAAAAGAGACTGAAAAAAAAATCAGTGCACTAGAATCACAACTTAATAATGATACCTAGAACTTTTTTTAGTAGAGAAATTTTCTTTTTGGTCTACAAGGACCTGTAGACTCCACTAACTTTCTGCTTTACTGAAATGAGATGGAGCACATTATAAAGAAATGTCCTTGCTGGAAAATAGCAGTTCCTAGCATTGTTTTGAAAGGTAGCAACCTTAGGGTGGAGAGCAATTATTGGAGACAGCAAAGATAGTGAAAGCATCTTACAAAAATGCACTGCCAAGAGTGAGTTGGATACACATAAGGAACTTGATAACATTTCTTGAACTTTTAGCCATAATTGATTTAATGAAACTTAAAATCAGAAGAAGCCCAGATTGCAAACACACACCCACACACACAAACACACAAAGGGAATCCATTCCAGGAAAGTTTATAAAAAAACCTGTTTGCTTTACAACTAAAATTTATTACTAAGTAATTCTCTTTAGAATGTGAATTAATTTATGTATGCATTTACTTTGACATAAATAATTTTTATTTAAAATTGAGATTCCCATTATATTAAATGCATATAAATATAAATATCATATAAATACACCATGGTTAAAACTAAAGAATATTGATAACACAGAGTATTGGCTTAAGACTGACAATACCAATTGCTGGAATAAGTTGGAGCTATTGTATCTCTCATACATTGTTAACAAGAATGCAGAATGCTACAACCATTTTAAGAAAACATCAGTTCCTTATACAACTAAGCATACATTTAGTTTATGACTCAAAATTCCAAGCCTAGCTATTTCCCCAAGAGAAATTAAAAGTGCATGCAGAGAAAAAACTTGCAGAAAAATATGCATAGAAATTCTACTTATAATAATCAAAAACTTGACAGCCTAAGTTGTTCATCCATAGATGAATAAACAAGCTGCCCTATATACATATAACAGGAATTATTCAGTAATATATATGAATAAATTACTGATTCACACAGCATGAATAATTCTCAAAGTCACTACAGTGAGTGAAATCTGCTTTACAGAAATGCCTATATACTGTATGGTTTCATTTACTTAAAATTTCAAAATAAGCAAAACTGATCTATGGTAGAAAAAACTAATAGTTATTGCCCATGGGGCATTGGAAACAAAGACTAAATAGGAAAAGGGCCAAGAGAATTTTCTGGATGGTAATAGTCTTTATCATTTTTTTCCTCACTGAGTTTACTGGTACATTTTAGGTATGCAATACAGTTACATTCATTATTGGGATAGGTATTTGAATTACATAGGTATATTCATTTATCAAAAATTCATCTAATGCTACAATGATAATGATATATCAGTAACATTTCTATACATTAACATTGCCCAAAAAGGAAATTGAGAAAATAATTTCATTACAATGGTATCAAAATACATAAGATATTAAGAGGTTCAAAACTTGTACATGGAAAAATATAAAACACAAATGAAAGAGACTAAAGCAAATAAGTCAAAAGGTATATGGGTCCAGTGAGCCAGGCATGGTGGCATATGCCTATAATTCCATCACTAGGGAGGGTGAGGCAGGAGGATCGCTGTGAGTCTGAGACCAGCCTGGGCTACATAATGAGTTCCAGGTCAGTCTCAACTACATAGTGAGACCCTGTCTCAAAAAACAAACAAAAAAAAGGTATATGGGTCCATGTATTAGAAGAATTAATACTGTTAAAATGTTCAAACAATACACAATGGGGAAAGACAGTCTCTTCAATAAAGGATGCTGTAAAAGTTGCATGCCCACAGGTAAAAGAACAAAAGTAGATGTCTTACACCATACCAAAAAAAAAAAAAAAAAGCTTAAATATGAGACTCAAAACAAGAAAATTTCTAGAAGAAAACATACAGGAAAAGTACCCTGACTTTGGTCTGGATAATGATATTTTGGATAGGACCCCCAAAACATCAACAAAAACAAATATAGACAAATTGGCTTTGTGGAGGATTAATTAATGGTCAAATTGAGTGGGAACACCCCACTGAACTGAGTCAGCTTGTTCTGGGTGTAAAATATCATCTCATCTCAACCCACTTAGAATGTCTGTAGTCAGAAAGACAAAAAAAAATGTCCTGGCAAGGAAGCAAGGAGACTCTGTTGGTGTGATTGTAAATTAGTATAGCCAGTGTGGGAAACAGTATGGTAGTTCCTCGAAAGAAATTAAAATTTTTGACTCTCTTATAGCCATTTTAATTGGAATGAGATATGTCATTGTGGTTTGGATTTACATTTCCCTGATGAGTAGGGATGTTGAGCATTTTTTCATATACTTGTTTGCCATTTGTATGTCATTTTTTTAAGAAATATTTATTCAGATTATTTGCCCATAATAATCAGATTGTTTCTTAATTTTGCTGCTTATATTTTTTAGTTCCTTACATATTCATAGGGGAAGAATTCCTATTTCTACATTAAATTTTTTAATTTTTATGACAAATGCTGACTTATTGACTTAATTTGGAGCTGAATGTGTGTGTGTGTGTGTGTGTGTGTGTGTGTGTGTGTGTGGTGTATTTCATCTTTATATAGTTAATAGTTCATGTATTAAATCAGCCAGATAGGATCTCCTTGAAAAGTTATGCCTGGAATGTAGACATTTTAGAGATGGACACACTTGACTAATTAAATTAATCCTAGAAAATCAATATGAAGCCATCTAATTGAATTACAAATCTTACCTTTGGTTGTGCATGTCTGGTTGTAACACATGACTGAGAATAGAATCCCAAAATAAGCCACAAAGCATCAGGGCAGAAAACTTCCAATTAACACAGTAGACACTTAATACAAAAGAAAAAGTTCAAGGCTAGCCATGGAGATTTGGATAATCAATGCCATAATTTCACATTTGACTATTATATTATAATATCCATAAAGAGGAAAAGGAAAGAAAATGATTCTTGTGTTTGTGCCTGTTAACATTGAAATGACTTTGCAGAGGACAAAAACTCCAACACTTAACAATGAATTGGACATTTAGGAAAAGAATCTAGTCTCTCCTCACTCCTGGGGAGTACTGTGTTTAATGAATTTCCTAATTTTAAAGATAACCACAAGTCCAGGACCTGTGACCAAAATAAATTAGGTAACAGGAAATTATAAATTAAAATTTTTTAAAGTTAAAATGCAATTTATAAAGTAGTTTTACACTTCTTCAAGGTGGTTCTCTTTGACATCTAGTTCATACAATATTAGTAAGTCCAAGGAAGCCTGCAAGGAAAAAAATTACACAGTAATAATATTCTTATTCTCTTGGCGTACTCGTTTCAAACCTTACCAAGGAGTTAATTATTTTTTCTGTTCCCTTACCCACCACATTAAAAAAAATCACATATCCTTCAAAAGATATTGAATTTGAATGAGTTCTTTCTAGATTTGTTTTTATTTGAACATTGACTTTAACTTCATTTATTTCTTTGTAAACTCCAACTTCTTAGTATTTTAAGATCTGAAAATTATAAACTACTATATTTCCATAAGAAAAACATTGCCTCAGTCCAAAATTATCTATAGTGTTAATGCTACAGAGGATCCACTAGAATATGAAGCATAGTCCTACACAGAAGGTTAAGTATCAAATGGTTTCCCTTATACGAAAGACCCAAAATATAAATAATTAAAGAGACAAATACAGGAGACAGGGAGGGAAGGACATCAACATTTCGGGAGTCAAAGGAAATCTGAAGAAAGAAAGAGGAAGGGTAACAAGGATCAAAACGTGAATGCACCAATTCCCAAAAATGAATTTAATTATGGCATATCACAGATGTATACTAAGAAAATAATTTTAAAATAAATAAAAGAAAGAGAAAACTATGAAAGAAATATGAGAATCATTAGGCCAAGATTCTGTAAAATGTACTGCTTTTCCGTGTCTACCCAAGACACCACGACAGCTAGCTGAGCCTCACGAAATCCATGAAATGTGGAAAATCCTATGAACTCAGTCTACAAAATATGTGAAAATTGTCTATCTATGTAAGACATTTGTTGAAAGATTCAGGGGAAATGTATGACCCAGGCTGTTTATTCATAACTGTACAGAACTTACCAAATAGTATACTTACTCCTACACAAAAATTATAATTGTAATTGTAAGGTGGGTTGTAATGCCAAATTCCATTCCCACCTATGAATTTCATGCAACTCAAAGTTAAATGTAGCTAAAAGGATATTGTACATTTGGGGCTAATCCTTGTCATTCTTTCCTGGACATCTTCCTATCTGGGTGGCCATGATCTCACTCTCTCCATTTTGCGATTGTTCAAGTAAGAACAAAATCTTTATCAAGTATATTTCTAAGCATATCTGGCTTTATTCCATGCTAAATTTCTAAGTAAATTACATATTATATTTGAAGGTAATTTCTCTATTAATATGGAGTTCAGTTCTCTCTTTTGTCTCTTCCACTGTTAGTAAATTCAATAATATAATAAGATATGGATAGAAAAATAGAGAAGATTTTTATTTGTTCTATTTTCTGTTAGTAGAAACTGGACCTATAAAAGATTTCCTCATCTATAGAAATATACTTAATCTTTGTAATATTCCTCAGGAGTCATTGGGTGGTAATTAAAAGACGGACTCAAGTTCTTTGACTATCCTCTCATTGAGAAATGGATTTAAATTTCTCTTCCCTTGAATCTGAACTGGTCTGAGTGATTTTCTTGAAAAACATAATGTGATAGGAAATTAAGATGTTATGGAACCTCTGGCTCCTAGTAAACCTTGAAGTTACCTCCTGGGCTGCTCTGGGTGAACGAGCTGCCATGTAAATTCACCTCTCTGAGAACACCATGGTACCAGGAAATAGTCACTTTAAGAGGCTAAATGGCAAGAGAGGCAGCCAGCCAGCCCTGGTTGCTCTATCTATGTCCACAGAAATGTAAGGAAAGAAGCTACCCTAGGTCTTCCAAGCAAATATAGTGTAGAGAAGGGCAGAAGAACCCAACCAACAATAAGAATCAAGGCCAGAGATGACTGACCTCGATCAACTCTTCCCAGGTATCTCCAGGCATTCGTGTCACCCCAACTGAGGACCCATTCTTCATGCAATGCGGATGAGTCATTCTCCTGGGCCTTGCACAAATTATTGACCTGAAAATCTATCAGCTTAATAAAACAGTGGTTGTTTTATATCATTAGATTTTGAGAACAGTTAGTAAACACCCTCTTTGGATATAATTGCTTGGTCATTTCACAGTATTATTAAGTTTACACTCGCAGATAGTGTTTCCCAGTACTGCCTATGGAAACAAAATCTTGATAAGGAGAAATGTGCTATAATTTAATAATAATCTGTGCTTCCAAGCAAAATTGTATTTCAATGATATTAAAAAGGAAATATATATTGTCTCTTTTCACAGATATCTGAGATGTTATTACTGGGCAGTTCGAAGTTTAATTACCATTGGGGGCCTTCCAGAGCCACAAACTTTATTTGAAATTGCTTTTCAACTCTTGAATTTCTTCTCTGGAGTTTTTGTATTCTCCAACCTAATTGGTCAGGTAAGATGAATCTGAATTTCTAGATACAATGTCTTAATGTTTGAAAGGTTGGCAAGTGTTTATAAATTTTACATCATTTAAAAATCGGCATAATTCTTTTTCTCCTCCTCCTTCTTCCCCTCTTCCTTCATTTCTTTCTCTTCATTCTTCTCCTTTTACTACCTTTCACGCAATTTAATGATGGGGAGGAGGATGTGACTGGGAAAACATTACCTTTCCATTTATTAACCATTAAGTAAATCAGAAAACCTAATCGCAAAGTTAATTAGTTTATATTCTCAGAGAAAGTTATTTCTAAGTTAGCTTCCTCCTTGAAGCTCTCTAAAATCCCTTTATGACTCTTTTATTTAATTAAACTTGCAAAACCACTGGATTAAAATCAACTTCAAGGTCATTTAAAATAAAATGCCATCCTAAACTATTAATAAATCATTGCTACACAAATATCGGGTATAGCATCTTGTCTTATTCTCAAGTGAGCATAGTCTAATAAGAAAAGAGCACAAGTACACAAATAAGCCGGGTATTTAGCTCAGTGGTGCCACCGCCTGCCTACCAAGGGCATGGTCCGGAGTTCGATCCCCATACCAAAAAGACAAAAAACACAAATAACTATAATGCAAGTTTGACTGCATTTACAAGGAAAAGAACCCAAAATCTTTGTGAATCCCAAGATTCACAAGAGGAAAAGTTCAGCAGCACAGCATCTTTAGAAGTCAGAAGAGCGCTTTACACGCCATATGTTAAAGAGCAAAAAAAGCCACATTGCGACAGGTGTACTAGATGAGGTGTTAAGCTAAGTCACAAAATGATTCTTCCCCCTAGTGGAATAACTGGCTCCCATTCACCATACTCTCAATACTATGAGTGAAACTTGTTTTATAATGAAATTTAGCATAATTTGTTATAGTATTTGACATTGTTCTAAAACAGTCAAAAATCACACAACACATCTATGGATATCAAGAGTCAGTTGTACATGAAGCAACCTATTAGTTGAGACATGGGAAGCTTTCCAGGAGGTTTCGTGGTACAAAGATGCATTTAAAGTCTCTTCAAAAGCCAGGCTATACTCAGTAATATAGATAGGCAGTGCAATTGATTAGGCATTCTGTGTGTGTGAAAAGATGTCAGTGGTAGAGCACAAGACATATTTGAGATAATGAAAGGCATTTCAAAATAAGTGGAGCGAAGGACACTAGTAAACAGGAACTAAATGTAAGGATAAGATATTTTAAAGGGAGGATTTTGAACAAAGAATGTTGTTTAAAATATGCTATGCACTGGAAAGAGTGATACTGACATAAAATATAGGTTTATTATTATTTAGGTATGGTAAGACTCACAAGTCAGGGACAGTTACCACTGAAAAGGTAGTTTGTTGTACCCACAGATCCAACAGGACGAAGCACATCCCACCACAAGTACAGGGCGGAGCGAACAAGGAAGCGCCAGGGGAGGAGCGGGGGAAGCAGGGGAAACAGCATTAGGGCTGGCCGGCTTGATGGTTGCAGTAGGCTCTAGGGAGTAGGGCTGTCTCTGTTTGTCTGGCATCTAGCACTGGGGTATAGGACAGGTGGATAATGGCATGGATGTAAGAGGGACCAGTGAGAAGACTGGCAGGAGTGTGGGCTCTGGATCATTTAGTTTGCCTATGAAGAAAACTCTTAAGAGTTCGCTAACCCTATGAATGGCCAGTATGGTCCTAGGTAAGGAAGACCCCAGATATCAACACCTCAGAGTACAGAAAGTAAAAATATAGTTAATACAGATACCCAGGAGCATGACAACTCCAGTTCCTGACATGTTAATGACCTGGAGAGAGAAGCTGTAAAGGAAACTCCACGCAGAAAATATTTCAATATTAGAAAACAAACATCAGGCAGTTGATAAATTAAATATAAAATATTATATAATCTTAATGGACAAGAAATTGTGTCAGTGGTTGAAATAGGAAGCAGGTTGGAGAGAAACTCAATTCAAATCAACTTGAATGTAAACATCAAATATATTATTTTGTAATTTCTCATAAAATCAGTGTGTCACATCACTCACTGCTTTCTCAGTTTTAGAGATGAGGAGACTGCAGTTTAAATAAATTAAGAAGCATTTTTATAGAAAAACCACATCTTCTTTAAAATGGAATATTACTCAGCCATAAAGAATGAGAAAATAGATTCATTCATAGGAAAATGGATACATATTGAAGATATACTCCTAAGTGAAATAAATAAGGCACACGTATAAATACCAAATAGTTTCTCTGGTGTGAATAATCTGCAATAATACAGAAGATCCTAGTAAGATTACTGACATTGGGAAATGGGAAGAAAGGAGCTAAAGGTGTAGGGAAGATGTGATGGGCAGGGGAAGGGTAAAAAGGGAAGAGAAAAAGTATGCGATAATGAAAAGATGGAAATAAAGTGGTTGTAGATGGGGAGCGGAGGAGGGGGTGAAGGGAGGGCAGGGACAAGGGGAAAAAATGAGAACCAAGACCTGTCATGTAGAGGTACAAGAACCCAACAATGAATGTAACTGTGCTGTATCCCTAAAATGTACCAATAAACTCAATTAAAGCTGAAAAAAATAAAATAAATTAAGAAGCAGCTAAATATGGTAGTACGTGCTTGTAATTCCAGCTCTCTGGGAGGCTGAAGCAGGAAGACCATAAGTTTGTACAACTTGGAGACTTAATGAGACCCTGTCTCAAAACAAAACATAAAAAAGCTAGAAGTGCAGTGCAGTTAGTACCCAATCTTCAGTACACAAAAAGAAATGAGGAAGGGTGAGGCATTTATCTCTGTGGTTCCAGCAATTGCCTTGCAAGCACAAGGACTGGAGTTCAATCACTGATACCAATTAAAAAAAGAAAAAGAAATGAAAAATAAAGAGGCATCCCATATAATTTATAGGATAGAACCATATATAATATTGATAATAATAGTAAACTTTAACATGTATTGAGCACTTGCAATACCAAAACAATTTTCATACCAAGACTACAAAGCAATGTCTATATTGCACCAGTTTTGATTCTCTTGCTACTCTAAGTGCAGTCTTTGGCCCAGTAGTAACAGCAGCTCTTGAGAAATTCATCACATGGGCCCTACTTCATTTAACCTGCATTCAACAAGATCTGCTCATAATTCTTATGCATATGAAAGTTTGAGAAATGCCACTTTGCATGCCACACCTGGCTTTAAATTGAGTTTGAGGTTCCCATAGGAACGAGAAGAAATCTTGTCAAGTCTTGAAAATGTGGTACTAGAACACAGGAGACAAAAATTGAAGCTGGAGACAGATTTGTGCTTTAAACTCATGTAGTAAATAAAAGATGCTGAGAAGAAAAATACAACCAAAAGGAAGAAAGCCTGGGACAAAATTTCCTTTTATTCAAAACCCCCACCATAGTCACACCAGTGACTATTCCCTGGAAGTAATCATCACTTTTTAACTGCAATATATACTCTCTAGTGCAACTCATAGAGCCTAACACTTTCTGACTCATATCTTTATGTGCTTCCCTAGACTGGAACTCCTCATAGAATAGAAATCTTAGGTCATACTCTTAATGAAATAAATAGGACACACATGTGTAAACACCAAATAGTTTCTCTGGTGTGAGAAACTGAAAGCGTAAATAAGAATGAAAATGTGTAATTGATAATGTGAAATAGGAAGAAAAGGGCTAAAGGGGTATGGCAAGTGGAAGGAGTAGGGGAAAGGAAAGAAAGGAAAGGAAAAAATGGAAACAAAGTCTTTGCAAATTGGGAGGGGTTGGAGGGGTTGAAGAGAGGGTAGGGGAAAGGGGTAAAAATAAGAACCAAGATATATCACGTAAAGGTACAAATTCCCAATGATGAATGTAACTGTATTGTATACCTAAAATGTACAAAGAAACTTAATGAAAAAAAAAAAAGAATACAAGTCTTCCTCAGCTCCTCCATCAACAAAACCCACCATTGCTGGAATACGGCACACAATTTAGACTACTTGGGAGCTTTCAACAACAGTCAATGATGATTTAAATTTCCTTTCATTCTCAACTAAGAATCTATTAAGTTTCTCAAGCTCCACCTTTAATATCCTATGTCCCCCAGCTTTAGGTGACTGGATAAATTGGTCAACTGCCAAGAGTGGAGTGGTAAATGGAAATCTGGGAACTGAGGTTGTGGAAGGATATTTGGAAGAGCCAGCAAGGAATAATAGACTCAGAAAGATGAACACAGTGCAGGGTCTGCATAGCTCCTTGGTAGATGCTCTCAAGATGTAGAAGAACCCGTTAGCCCTAAATATGGAAACTAAGGAAGGCATTAACGAAAAAAAGGGCATTATTTGAATTAAGCTCCAAAGAATGAGTAGTTTTTCTCATAAGTGTAAAAAGCTCAGGAGCTACAAGAATAAATAAGCAAAGTGGTAGTGTGAAAGCAAGGCCCTGATTTTACTCACCATTATAAACCCACAGTCAAAGCAAATTTACAACCAGTTTCTTCCCTCTGTGTGAGACGAAGGATCGAGCAATATATCTTTTTTGTGCTGAGACCTCAAAGATCAGCTTTTAGCCTAGAGTGGGTTTTTATAGCTGAGTTATAAACAACCAAGAACTATAACCAGACAGGTCTTTAGGTATTGTCACAGCAGTAGATGAAGCTTCAGTAATTCCAGCACATTTCTACTTCTGCCAAATCCTACACCTTAAGCATGATGAGATTTGATGTATATCTGCCTAAACAACAAAAGGGTGGACAGAGGTTGCAATTTCATGATGAGTGAAGGCTGCATAGCCAGCCACACTGGATAATCTGTGCACGGTGCTTTCAAAGTGAGACTCGCTAAAATGGACTAGCCGTTTGCTAGATAATTGCTCGATTTTTATTGCACATTCCTTTCCAATGTACAAGTTATGTGGTTCTTTAAATATCAGCTAACATTTTGCAGCAATGTACAAGCATGCAAAGAAGATAATATGCAGTCCCTTGTGTTATGTGGCCAAATTCTTACAGTAATCTCAAATGGCAGGTATGATAAAGTTTATTATTGTCCTTACTTGTCAGAGATGATGTGTTTTGCCTGATATTTTACAGAAGTGGGTAAAGTAGAACCCAATATTAATGTGCTTAAAAATCGAGTAGTCAAGGCATTAGAAGGGAATGTGTAAGAACACTTAATTCAACTGGAATTTTAGTAACTCCTGCACTTTCTCTATTGCATATGGAGTGACCATATTTATGATCTTAGATGCGTGATGTAATTGGGGCAGCTACAGCCAATCAGAATGACTTCCGAGTCTGTATGGATCACACCGTAGCCTACATGAACACTTACTCCATCCCTCAAAGTGTGCAGAGTCGAATTCGGGCTTGGTTTGAATATATATGGTACTCTCAAAGAATGCTAGGTAAGCATTGCAGATTACTGATTATGTTCCTATTAGCCTTGTTATAAAATGAAAATTATACATGTATGTCCTAATCGCTTCACTTAAGAGTATGGGTTCAAGGTCCATCCATTTCATTATAAATGTCTCTAGTTTATCATTCTTTATGGCTGAGTAGCACTCCATTTCATTAAAAAAAAATTACCACATCTTCATGTGTAAATACCAAACACTTTCTCTGATGTGATAAACTGAAATGATGACCATAATGTATAATTAATACTGTAAAATAGGAAAAAAATGATCAAAGGGGAAGAGGAACTTGGGTGGTGGTGAGGGAAAGGAAAGAAGGGAAAGAAAAAATATAAGATAAGAAGGAAAAAATGGCAACAAAGCTTTTGTAAATAGGAAGGCGTGGAAGGGAGGACAAGGGGATGGGATAAAACAAGAACCAAGATATATCATGTACAGGTATAAATTCCCAGTGATGAATGTGATCATCATGCATACCTAAAATGTATCAATAAATGTAAAAAATGAAAATTATGTAAGGTAGAAGCAGAGATTAATTAGATTTGGACAAAAGATTAAAAAGCAATTAAATTTAAAACATTAATTTAATACAATGAATTTTTTTCTTTAATGTGAAGCCATCTTATTGATAAGGCAAAACTTAGAAAAGAAAAATGTTAAATTGTATTCCATGACTGCAGATTCTAAGTATCACATACTTAGCTTCATATCACACAAAAAAAATATGGACAGGGAAATGGAGCCACATGTGGCCTAACTGGAACTCAATCTTGCATCTGTCCTCCAAACCTTGAACTTTCTGTGACATCACCCTCCTCCTGGGAGGGCAGAGTTCTCAAATTTTCAGGACCTCTTATGTCTGTGTCATTGCTAAACACACAGTTGCTTCTACGGGACCCTTAATAATTAATGGTGTCTACTAGTAGTACTGTAACACTACTGGTTGACAATAATCAAATTCAATTTTTTAGTTTTTTCTATAAAAAATAGGAATTAGTGCCCCTCGGGAGATGAAAAGAAAAGAAAAACACTCTACTGTCTCCAGTGCAAAAATGAGATTCTCAATTCACAGATGTTCCTAAGAGCACTTCTATTTTTAAGAGACACCAGCCTCCTCTTGGGAATCTCTTTTTGAATGACCAAAGCAACTTCTCTTGAGAACCCACAGCTACCCTGAAGGCATTGCCAGTGCAGAAGAAGCAAGGACAGGAGTGGTGCTTTGTCCTGGCCCCAAATAGTAGCTGTACACACTATTTCAATTCCTTGGTTTAGTGGGTAACTAGAGATAAACAACCCTCAGCAATAGAAAATTATGTTTTTATGTGAAGATGTCCATATTTAGAATCTATATAAGAATCAAAATTGAAATATAATATCACAATTTTTCTCTTTCTATATATATCAAAAATAACTCTCATGAACCCTGGACATACTAGGCATCAGAAAAAGCAGTTTTGTTCATCAAAATCTTTGTCAGCCTGAAGGTCCATCACTTAATTAACATGTAGAGAAATCTGTAATGTGTTCAAATTCTTAATTGAGTTAATAAGCACATAAATAGCAATAACTTGAATTTGCTCACTTAACACATTCACTCTTTAGATTCCACTCCCAGCTGGACCAACTACTAGCTATGCACAATAAGCAAGTCATGTACAGCCTCTCTGAGAGTTTTGGTTCCTTTAGCTTTTCTTCTTTCTGCAAATTAGAAATGAGAACACTCAACCTCAGTGTTGGGTCCGATAGGATGATGGGTAAGATAGAGATCATAAAGGATGTTAAAACTGGAATCAATAGAAAAAAACAAGAACTAGATCTTTTCCCTATACCAGCTCATTCACTAGCCTTCATCCCCTGATCATTAAATTTCATGCCTAAAATTTCAGCAAGCACAATAATCTGGAATTATTCAGTATAGCATTCATCGTCAAAATACTTCGTATCATTCTGAGCATAATAGTCCTATTGTGATAAGTGTGAAAGTCCAATATAGAATTTGATACATTTATTTATAAAATGAATTTGCATTTTGTCTTGTTATTTAAACTTTCAACTTGCAGTTTGGTGAGTTTGTGGCATTAATAATTCTGCTTTTGGGTCTTACGTCTTTATCTTTACAAAGATGAGTCTGATTTGCTCGAGAACCTACCAACTACAATGCAGTTAGCCCTTGCCGTTGATATGAACTTCAGCATCATCAGCAAAGTAGATTTGTTCAAGGTAAGTGCTTTTACAGCTAATAGAAAAGACAACTTACCAATTCACTGGGAAAAAATCAAAGGTCTTGCTTTACATAGAATTTATTGATTTTTTTTCTTATGTTTTATGAAAGTCAAAATAACCTGGAGAATTTAAGATAGTCAAATATATTCCAGGTCTCTCCTCTACAGATGACATACTCTGTAGAAGCCTCTCCCTTCTAATTGGTGTCAAAGAAGAGTTCTTCAGCTTCTTGTATTAATTTAAATATATTTAAACTCTACAGCTTTATGTCTTTGCTGGTATGTGCATCACCTTCCATTAAGAAGCATGCAAGCAATGTATGACAAATCAGACCCGACATTAGCTCTGGATTGGAAGATTGACAATCAATGAATCATGCCTAGTCGTGTGTCCTATTACAAACACTTTGGATCTAGACTTTTAAAATGGTGAAATATAAATTTGGAGACTTTCCCTAGAAAAACATTCATAGAAAAGAAATTTTTAGCTTGGATATTTTTAGTTGTATTTCTTTCTATTTTTTATTAAAGATTGCAAACATACATGACAATAAGAAATGAAGATATTAAATAAAAATTTCAAATATACATATATATGACAGCAAAAAAGGATATGAAATAAACAAACATTTATGTAACACAGACTGATAATCAAAATACATTATTAGTTTGATATGATCTTCAAACATTAAATGTTCTTTCTCATTTTCTTTTCATATAATATTTTTGAAATAATGTAATTCAAATAAAACAAAGTTACATATTATAGTTGAGAAACTGTCCTCAAAATTTTACAATTTATAAACTCCTTGGTTTTATTAATTGACAAATATCATGTGCTTTTTGATTGTACCAGTTACATTTTCTAACAAAACTTCCCACAGGAAAAAAATATATATTTGAAATTCAAAAGCAACTAAAAAAAATCACATTTGTAAGATCAGATTTTTCTGTTTCTATTTTATTATATCTCATACTTACTTTTATTATATTTTTATAAGCACAATGATAGAATTTAACACCAGTGCATATGTAATATTCTTCCCAAATGACTATGAATTAAATCAAGCATGTAATTTAGAGAAATGATAAGGTTGCCAGAGAAATTATCAATATGCCAAATGTGCAAAATCCTACCACATTCATAACCATGTTTCTCATCTAATGGTGCACACATATGTATAAAAACATACCCCCCACACATAAACACAATGCATATTTTCTACAATACAATATATACTTTGGTATAATAAAACAGTGCAGTGATGTGTGGAATGTTTGTGATTTGTGTGATTTGAGAAAAAACAAATATCATCTTTTGAGGGAGTTGGAGAATTTGTAATATGTACCAGATACTGAATGATATTAATGATTTATTATCCATTTATTTAAGTATAGCTATGATGAAATTTACTTAAAAATTAATATTCATTATCAGTGGAAAATAGGTACAAAGATATATTGATAACATAACAAAATTTGTCTTAACAAATTTCCATCCAAACAAGCTGTAGTTATACAGATTTGATAAATTCTCAAATAAAAATGCAAAGAAAATGAGAACCAAAATAACTCATCAATTTGGTAGACCAACATATAAAGATAAGGATTAATGTGTTGGTAAATTTTAAAAATATGAAATGTAAAGCCTGAGATTTAGCTCAGTAGTGCTGCACCTGCCTAGCCAGAGCAATGTGCTGAGTTTAATCCCCAGCACCAGGGAAAGAAAAAGAAAAAAAGAAGAAAAGAGAAAAGAAGCATATATACTTGCTAACATACTCAATAGATTAAAAATAAATTATTTGTTATCTCTTCTTGAATTGTTCCTTTCACAAGGATGTAGTGACCTTCTTTGTCTCTTTCAATCAGTTTAGGTTTGAAACTTACTTTGTCTGTCAATAAGATTGCTTACCCTGCTTTTTTTCTGGGCTCCTGTTACATGAAGTTTTCTGTCCTTTCACTTTCAGCCTATGGGCTTCTTTTGCACTAGATGTGTCTTGTATACAACATATTATTGGATTTTGCTTCTTAATCCATTCTACCAGTCTATTTATCTTGATTGGTGAATTGAGACCATTGATATTGATGGTTATAACTGATATGTACTAACTTATTATTGTCATTTTTTTTCACTTTTTCCTATTAGTTTCTTACCTTGCCTATTTGATTTGCTGGGTTAGGCCTCATTGTCTTATTACCTTCATTGTCTTTTTCTAGGATATTGTTTAGAATTCCTTGTAGTGCTTTTTTGGTATTCATGAAGTTTCTCAGGTGTTCTTTATCATGGAAATATCTTTTTTCCCCATCCATTTTGAGAGAAAGTTTTGCAGGATACATCAGTCTAGGTTGGAGATTGTTTTCTTTTAGTACTTGAGATGTCTCACTCCTGGATCTCCTTAACCTAAGGATTTGTATTGAAAAGTCTGCTGTGATTCTGATGGGTTTTCCTTTGCATGTAATTTGTTTCTTGTGTCTTACTGCTTGTAGTATTTTGTTCTTCTGTTGGGTTTCTGGGATCTTGATTATTATATGTCTAGGTGTAGATTTTTTTTGATCATGGTTAGTTGGAGTCCTATATGCCTCACTTATCTGTATGTTAAATTCTCCCCTCTGTTTGGGAAGTTTTCTATAATTAATTCTGTGAACAGCTTTTTTAAGTCATTTGCATTTTCTCCTGCTACTTCTTGAATTCCTATCAGTCTTATGTTATTCTTCTTTGTATCATGTAAGAGTTGTTGGATCCATTTCTCACAATCCCCTACTGTTTTTAAGCGACCTCTCTTTTCACTGTCACTGACCACAATTTTATCTTCTATATCTAAGATTCTATCTTTGGACTCTTTTATTGTTTTGTGAACACTCTCAATGGAGTTTTTAATCTCCTGGATATCTGTTCGAATCTGTCCTATGGATTCCATTTCTTTCTTGTATTGGGCATTTATTGTTTCCAATTCTTTCTTATGCTGGGCATTCATGGCTTCTATCATGGTCCTGAGCTCATCTATTTTCCTCTCAGTTTCAGTTCTTGAGTCTCAAATTATAACTTTCATTTTTCTCATTATCTCTATGATTATCTGGGAAATTGCTTCTGTTTTAAATTTTTCTAGAGCCTGACTGATCAGTTTTGTTACTTCCTGTGCCTTGAGTTCAGGGTGTCCTGATGGTTCACTGTCAGACTTTTCATCCTCATTTGCCCCACTGTTTGCCATTGTTGAACTGGAAGTCTGTCCCTGTATCTCGCTTAAGCATTTTCTCATTTTCACTATTGTTGTTGGGTTGTCCTTAGTTTACCCTTTACATTATTACTTAAATCTTCCTGATATAGTTGGGCTTCAGCCCATGGGTCTCTAATGACTCATAGACATTCTCATTTTCATAGTACCGAAGAAAACAGCTCATTGAATCAATCACAATCCTTTATTCTAATTGATACAATCAGCATGACAACATGATGAAGCACAATTTGCAAATTGACCACTTATGGTCGTCATCAGTCTATCACCTTCAAACCCTGTGAATTAAATTAAAATCAAGAAGCAATCCAAAATATGTTTACAGTGAACAAACTTTTCATTAAGGATATTTACCATTTAGAATGGGGATTAAGACAGAGTTAAGATGAGAAGAGTAGATAAGTAAAAGAATTAGAGAAGGTTCTCATATGAAGTCAGAAGACATAGAATGACCAGACAATTATCACGAAACTGTTAAATTCAAAAGGATCAAACAAAATAGAAGTATAATAACCCTTGAGTGAGGTAGAATGACATAAGAAAAGAACATAAAGAAAAGAGAAAAAAATAATAAGAAATCTGAGTTAGGACAAGAGCAGAAACAGAAAGGGAGATGAGGGATAATATAGTGGAGCAAGAGACTGAGTTGGAGAAAGAGGGCAGAAAAAAAAAAGAATTTGCAGAGTAGAATTTAAAAAAAGAAAGAAACAAAAATGAGTTTGAAGGGCCTCTTTCAGACTATATCACTGCTGTCACAATATACAATATGTACTGCCATGGCAGAACCCCACAAAGCAGACTGAGCTCGGGCTGCAAGGCCCAGACTGAGTTCCCCAACCTCCTGAAGGGTTGAACTCCACTCAGTTCCACTATAAGTTTCCCCCACCACTTCTTTAAAGATGTTCAAAGTTAAAAGTGCCAGAAAATACTCTTTATGACCACCTCTGCTCTACAGAGTAGGTCCAAAGACTGGCACAAACAGCAGGTCTGAAAGAGTGATGGGGGAGGTTGGGGAGTTCAAGGGTGCCCAGGCAGCTAACTTTGGGGCACTGAAGATGGTGGCAGAGGTGTCAGCAGGCAAAGGCATGGCTGAGCAGGCCCTCTGGCGCTGGAGATGGCCAAACACACTGTATTTCTTTCTTCTTTAGCTATTATATTGCACACAAGTTTTTCTCACCTAAGATTTAATTCTATTAATAGCATTCATTGATTATCTCTTCAATTAATTCACTCAACAAATATTTATTAAGTTTCTCCTATGTTCTAGGCAGCATATTGGCCACTGGGAACACAGCAGTTGAAAACTAATGCTTATATGTATGGAACTTAAATTCCAGAAAAGAATGAAAAATAATATATAGCAGGTGGTGGTAATAATTCAACAAACAAAATTAAACAAGTTATAGATGATAAATGTAGTATGGTGCTGAAAGACCTCTCTGATGAAACACTTTGGGCTTTTGAACAAGGGACTTGAAGAAGCAAGAAAAGAAAACAGAAAGGGGTGGAAGAGGTGAACATTACTGGAGGCTGGACAAGATGAAACCTTGGGCTGGGAACATACTGCAAGTAGATCAGAGGAGTTTGGAACAAAGTTACAGGGATGGAAAGCAAGAGAAGTCATAGAAAACATTTTTTAAAAAGGAAGGGTGTGGGGAGGATCGAGTCAATGAATAAGCTTTTAGGCTATGAATTAGACTGTATTCTGGCTGCAAAAATACTGAGCATCAGCCAGGCGTGGTGGCACATGCCTGTAATCCCAGCA